AATTATTTACAATTAAGTGCTCTGTGGAGTGACGCTGTCGGAAGGAGAATCTTGAGGTCCACAACTCATAGAGAGGCCCACAAACTGGGACTTAGCACTTGCAAGGTAAGTTTTCTTATAAAAAAAAGTGAAGTAAAAACCCTAAAGTTGCACAACCTGTTTATAGGCCAAAGAAAAGCCACTATTAACTCTACTGCAAAAGAAAAATCGGCTTAGATGGGCTAAAGAACATAGACAATGGACACCTCAACAATGGTGTGAAATACAATGGAGTGATGAGGCCCGATTCAAAGTTTGTGTTGGTGACAGTCGCAGTAGAGTTATTCGCAAAAAAAATGAAGCATTCCATGTTGACTGTCTGAAGAGAAAAGTGAAATTCTCAACATCCATTATGGTCTGGGGCAGTATGTCATCAAAAAGAGTAGGAAAATTTCATTTTATTGATCGCTTTTACCAGTAATGGAAGAATGTTTGACATCCGGCCAAGATTTTGTGTTTCAGCAAGATGGTGCAGCGTGCCATACCTCAAAAAAGGCTATAAAATGGATGGAAGAAAATAATGTACCACTTTTGAAATGGGTTTCTAGCAGTCCAGATCTGTCACATATTGAAACTTTGTGGCACGAGATGAAAGAGGTTCTACGACAACAGCCTGCTCGTACAATCGCCGAACTGAGACAAAAGCTTCAAGAAATATGGGATTGTTTTACACCAAATGTTTGCAAAACTTAGTTAACACTATGCCCCAAAGAATTTCAGCCGTAATAAAAAATAAAGGTGATGTTACCCAATGGTAATCTTTCAATTAATTGTTGCTTTGTTAACTTCGCGCATTTATTCGCAAATTGTTTATTTGTTCAGATGTTCTATTAGTTATAGGTCTAACTGATTTCAAATATGTATTTTTTACGACTAGAGTATATCTAAAATGTTTTTGAGAAAATAAATTGTTTTAGAAATAAATAGTTTCGTCATGTTTAATTTATAAAGGCATACTTTGGTACAAATCTTGAAGTGGGCCAACTGAAGTGGGAAGGGGCTCGTACGTAACCGACTTATCCGCAATAAATCTAACTTCCCGATACAAAAAAGGCCAATACTGTGGAATTCAACTATTTTTTATTTTTATTATATTTTATTTTAAGTGGTGCAGAGAAAAATAACTACCAGCGGACCAACTGTAACGCGACGACGACTTTAGTAATCACGTTGAACCCTGAAAACTAGTGCTTTGATAGCTCATGACTCAGTGTTCCCTCGTGTCTGGACACACGTTTTTACTGTACCACGTACTCTATACATATACAGTCGGCGATTTCAAAAACCTCTCAACTCACATTTTTTCAAAATGCTTTTTTGACAGATGCGTATTTCAGGCATAAACCACATAAGTCAATATGATGGATATACGATAGTAATTCCTGTACTTACCGCAAATTGTGTAAAAACCTATATGTGTGTATTCTTTTTCATGATGGCCAATTTATAGAGTATAGAACCGTTTTGTCAGGGATGTTTCCTTTGAGCGAGTTTCCCCTATGTGCCCTAAAGATATACACACATGCTCAACTAAAATACGTGGCAAGTCAATATTTAAGTATAATTTTTAATAGTAAGCAATAAAAATATGATTTAACTGATTATTATAGTAAGTTATGTACCACTTACGTTATCTCTTGCTAAAAAACGTAAGTCCAGAACAGTTTTTCATGCTTTTTTAATTTTTACTATTCATAGACCGACATTTCAATCAAATAAAACTCAGACAGTATATTTACCCCAAAAAGGTTGTTCAAAACTGGTTTATTTGGGAATGGGACAGTTTTTATTTTCCCTCGAAAAATTCAAATTGTGAGATTTATGACGTTTGTGAAATATTCATACATTATTTTTACACCTTTTTCGGCTCCGAGTTTTTTCGCTGTTCCAATTGGTATTTAATCAGCTATCCTGTAACGTGACCATGCCTATTTGAAAATTAAATATACGCCACTGGTTCAGTCGTTTACAACACAACAGGTGGGAATCTATGTCTCTCTGAGTGTGACAAAACATAATATCAAGTAGGTATATAGATTTCTTGAACAAAGGAAGACATGGATGACAGTTTGAAGTCGTAAAATAGGCAGAAATATGATGTTTGTTAATAAATTGATTCGGCTGTGGATCATAAGGTACCTGAATCTTGAGTTTTGAGGGTGGACCTTAACTTGGTCTGCTGATGATGAAGTTTGGTAATAATGAGCTCTTTTGATTTCTGTCGGTGTGAGGTTTGCTTGCTTGGTTGGTTGCTGGTTCTTCTTTTTTTTTACCGAAGCCGCCACGTAGGCAGAAGCCTAAATACCGTGGCACCGCTACTACTATGAGGAGCGTAAACAAACTGATTAAGCTGATACAGTCACAAGTCACACACATACAGGGTGTAAGTAAAGTTAGTAGCGGATCAACCGAAATGAGGTTATAGAGGGCCTCAAAACCTGTCGAATGAACCGCTATATGTGTGGTTCGAAATTTTATAGCTTAGGAGACATTGGCAATTTTGTGAAGTTTCGAAAAAAAGGGGATAATGAACTTTGGGGCCGTTCAAGTATTACGTGAGCACTATGGGGGCGGGGGGTCCTTGCTTTGCTTATTTTGGATGACATGGGGGGCAGGGGAGTCTAGATGATGATTACGCCATCGATAGTTATTTACTTTTTTACACGAATGGCAACCCTCACATTGTCTTTGCTTGAAAACGAAACGCATTTCCGGGGATTCCCGCAAATAATGCATACGTTTAGTGAACAGCGCGCGGTAATTCCCCTACTCGCTTTAGAACCGAGTAGGGGAATTACCGCGCGATGTTCACTTGTCTAAGTTTCCTCTATCAGTCTATTGTTTAGTTTGGATACTATGGCGAGTAGACGTATTGTAAGCATAGTAAAGCAAATTAACATTTGTGTTACCATTGATTCCATTAGCCAAAGCTTAATGTTTAAATAAGATGTCGTTTCACATAGACAAATCCAAGTTATACCAAAAATTGTTTGAAGGTTTTAAAAAATCTCATACAAGTACGAAAGTACAAAATGTAAAAAGTTAGTTAACGAAGTGTGGCGAAATTACAAATTACAAGCAAAATCCGACAAGGAACTAGATATTATTGTATCTAAGAGAATCGAAGAAGAATTGCAAGCGGCGACTAAGAATAAATCCAATCTACTACATTTTTTTTTCTAAGATGAGTGACGAAATCATTTTAGGTACCTATGAGTACTAGAAATATTAGAAATCGCCAAAAAGTTTCTCTTTACTGATTAGAAAATATTATGGCCTATCTCAAAGTATAGAGGTAATATTCATTATATTATAGATTTATTTCTTATGATTGATTTCGTCAATTGGTCACAAAGTACAGGATGTTAGTTTTATACCCATAGGTATACAGAAAACTAAACACCCTGTATTTTGTTACCGGAACGAATTGCTCGTTTAAACATATTAGATTTAAAGCCATAGGTTTTGTATTTACCATATATATTGTACTTTGTACTTATGTAGCTTAATAAGAGAATCTTTAGCAGAAGCCATTGAAAGTTTTTATTTTTAGGCAACCTGTATACCTGCAGAAAAAACACAAATTATTCAGTCAGCTTCGAATATTAAAAAAGAGGAAGAAGATAAAATAAAACCCGGTAATGAATCACAACTGCAATGCGAAATTAATGAAAATACAGATAAACAGAGAGCAAAACCTTCTCAGGAAGCTATCAAAAATAAGATTGCTCTACTCGAAAAAAATCTGAATGCTTTGTATTCTGCCAGAGATACTATGCCAAGCCGTGCTGAAGTTGATAAACAGATCATTAAGTTGCGCGAGGAAATAAAAACAGCAAAACAGTCTTTAAACAGAAAGGTTCAAAACGCAGTTGCCCAGAAGAAACACAGGGATGGTATGAAAAGAAAGTTAGAAGATATTTGTCATGAAAATCCAGAAATAAAAAAGACTATCTCTGAGGTATTCAGTGGGACGTCCTAATCTTGAAAGCAATCAACAGCACTATTGAAAACAATCGCGGATATAGCTTTATTTGGGAGTGCAGCAGGTGATAGAAGACGAACGGAATCAATTCGCAGCGTAAAAAGTCGATGAACTTACACAAGAATTATGTAAAATAGGATTTGACATTAGTCGCAGTGGGACATATCTTCGTTTGATTCCCAGAAAATCTAATTCTGCAGAGGGACGAAGACATGTATCGACAGTCCCTGTTAAGCTCATTCGGGCTCCAACTGATCACCACAAGAGCCACTTAGATAGCAAGTTCGCTGAAACATCAATCCATTATTTAGAGAATATAGCATCCATACTGGGACCAGATCAAGTATTTTTCATATCTCAAGATGAGAAAGCTCGAGTCCCTATTGGCGTAACTGCGGCAAATAAGCAAGAACCTCTTCTAATGCAAATGGAATATAAAATCAAATTGCCTGATCACGATTGGGTAATCGCTGAGCGTCATAAATTAATACCATCTGTTTATGCGGGTATCAAAATCACTTCCAATATGCTAGAACAACCGCAAGCCGTTGGATATTCTGGACCAACATACATCGCTATTCGAAGTGGAAAGCTTAGTTCATCTACTGCTAGTTCTCATGCTCAGGATTTCGAGACGCTTCTTGAACTGAGTTTCGACCATTAGCTAAAACTGACCATGGACTAGTAAAACCAGTGGTAATCATGACGGTTGATGGAGGGCCAGATGAAAATCCACGTTATCAAAAAGTCATAGGGTTTGCTATACATCACTTTAAGCGACATGATCTCGATGCAATGTTTTTAGCTACCAATGCTCCTGGAAAAAGTGCGTATAACAGAGTAGAGCGCAGAATGGCTCCTCTTAGTCGGGAACTGGCTGGCTTAATATTGCCTCATGACCATTTTGGGTCTCATTTGGATAAACGTGGCGTTACAATTGATGAACATTTAGAAAGATCTGATTTCGAATTTGCAGGAAATGTATTAGCTGACGTATGGAGTTCAATGGAAATTGATGGCTATAATGTTAATGAAACATATGTTGGGGCAGGTGAACAAGATCTTCTTGATTTTCCAAACATTAAATGGTATTCAGAATATGTGCGTGAGAGCCAATACTTGCTTCAAATTGTAAAATGTAGAAATACAGAATGCTGTCGTCCAAGAAGTGGCCTATATACAATATATTACTAGAGAATAGGTTTCTTCTACCACCTGTAAAAGTAAAACAAAGTTGATGACTTAGTGTTGGACGAAGGAGGGCAATTTCTTAATTTTCCAGTCAGTTTAGCTCTACGCTTAAGTGCTTCACTCAAAGATTTCCTGCAAATGCCCTACGATTATTTTTTCCGACGGTAAAATTGAGGCTATCAAGTCAAACAGGCAAAACGTGTGGTCTTTATTTAAATATCCATAAAAAAGTAAACACGCACACTGATAGGAAAGTTAGATCTGTAAGAGTCGCTGCTCGTCGTGCTAATGAACTGATGTGCATTATTCAAAATTTAGAGCACCATGATGTTGAATGGCTCGATGAGAACGACGTAGATATTCCAAAATCCGATGAAAGCGAGCAACCTCACACCACTGAGCAGCAATCGAAGCAATCCAATGTCATCGAAAACTTAGAATCATGGATTCGGGTTTCATGGACTGAAGACTGTTAATTTGAATTTAATATATGTACCAAAAATTTAAAATAAGTTTGTTATGTTAGTAAGATATAATATTTTTATCCTTTACTCTATGTTGAATACCGTATCAGTAAAATTTAATCTCTATCCTAAATCTATTTTCTTGTTTTTCAAATTATAATTATAACGTTATAATTATAATATTAAAAAAACAATACATTAATTGACAAATGTTTACGTAAACATGAGGGGAGGGGGTAAGAGCTTTGCTGACTTTTGCTGACAAGGGGGATGGGGGGGTAAATAATTGTAATAAATCTGATTACGTAATACTTGAACGGCCCCTTTCAATCGCAATTACCACTGAACCATTAGGTTTAGGGCTGTGATTTTTTTCTGAGATGAGCTAAATGGTTAGTTTTAGCAATGGTTGTTACTTTTTAACAGAGCTTATTAGAAATAAACGCAAAAAATATTAAATTCATTTTTTTGTGACAAATGTCTTCCATCCCTCAACTTTGGGAAGCTGTAAAAAAAATTGAAGTTGTATTTCATTATTCATTTTATTGTAAAAACTATTTCAATCCATGTAGAATAATGGTTTAGTTGTAATTGCGATTGAAAGTTCATTATACCGTTTTTTTTTTCGAAATTTCACAAAATTGCAAATATCTCCTGAACTATAAAATTCCGGATCACACATATAGTTATTCGATATGTTTTGAGGCCCTCTATAACCTGACTTCCGTTGATCCCTTACTAACTTTACACCCTGTATACACACATATTTTCCCTACATCTGCCATGGAATAAAAAATATGATAGATGATGCTTTATATAGTTTGATATTCAGAGGCCATGCCATTTCGCCTTTTGAAACAATTTTACTCATCCCTTTTCTATGGAATCTGCAACGAATGGGTAGAAAGTATAGAGTCAATCTACTTGACGCCATTTTTTTTTGTCTTTGGTAAAACTTTAGACAAACATAAGTACGTTATGAGTATCGGAAACCAATAAACAATATTTCGCCATTCTGATTTTCCACGGCAACGAGAATAGCAAAGGCCAAATCGCAGTAGCATACCGTATCGCCTGTACAGAAGCACTTTCGCACGAGATGAAAGGAAAATCCTGTAATTGGTGGATTGTTTGATTTTCTCTGATTGCCCGGGTGGCGGCCGGCGGTTGTCCGGTTGTTGTGCGAAAGATCGGAGAACAAAGCGCACCAAATTTGCCACCGCAGAGGCCGCCTGGCCTAATCATTACCGGAACAAATCGCCAAATCCGCTTTTAACACTTCTCGGAGAATCTAAAAATATGAATGCGTGTGTGGACCCAAGAGTCAACCAAGCGCGGATCCAGGGGGGCAAGTGACATATAAATCCGAACACCCAGTTTAAATGGTTTTATTTTAATAAAATTTTGTATAAGTACTTAATGAAGCATAATAAGTAAATGATAAAAATTTCAAAATGATTGCACTGCTTTAAAGCCCTTTGACCTTTAATAATGTGTGGATGTACCCTGATGTGCTAGGCATTCTCCAATGCGCCTAGGCATGCTTCTGATCAGGTGGTCAATATCCTCCTGTGGTATCTCATTCCAGGCAACCACCAACTCCTCTCGAAGTGCTTCTAGAGTCTGAGGAGGACGTTGCAAATTGAGCAATCTCCTACCCATCATATCCCACACGTGCTCAATTGGGGATAAGTCGGGAGATCTTGGTGGCCATGGTAACAATGTGACATCATTATGTTGAAAGAAGTCTATTGTGACTCTTGCAACATGTGGTCGGGCATTATCTTGTTGGAAAGTTGGATCTGCCAGGGTGTCAAGATAGGGTAAAAGATGGGGTTCTAGAACTTCGTGGATATAACGCTGCGCGTTCATGTTACCTCTGATGAAGATTAAAGGTGACCTGGAACCATAAGCTATAGCACCCCAAACCATAACTCCAACAGTGTGATGAACATGTCTTTCAACAAAAAACTGTGGATTCCTCCTTTCACCACGTCGCCTTCTAACCCTGGCACGACTATCGTGCATGCCTAAACAAAATGGAGACTCGTCACTAAAGACAGTACTGTTCCATTCCTGATCCCAGAGTGACCGTTGTCTGCACCACTCAAGGCGATTACGTCGGTGTTCTCGAGTTAAAGGGAGGACCCAGTGTGGCCGGTATGAAAACAAGCCAAAACTTCTCATTCGTCGGTAAGCACTTCGCATGCCAATAGGTCTTCCGTGTTCTGCAAACCATTCATTTGCAATGGACCTGGTAGTGGAGAAACGGTCCTTAAGGCTAATAATCTTAGGCGGCGATCTTCGCGGTCTGTTGTTCTACGGCGGCGTCCAGTGCCCCTTGCTCTTTGCGTACGGCCTTCTCGAAGCCATGCCTGACAACACCTAACCACAGTGTCTACACTTCTTTGCACTCTAACTGCAATTGTCCGAAAAGAAAGTCCAGCTTCCCGAAGTCCCACTATACGGCCCCTATCAAACTCACTAAGTTGACGAAATCGTACAGGTCTCCGTACTCTAGGCATCGTAACCGATCGTAAAGGATGTCAAGAACCAAAATCCGCCAACGTTGATTCTTTACTGCGGCTGAAATATTGATTTTTAGAGCGTTAGTGAATTAAAAAAAAGCAGTATAAAAACCGGAATGTCCACCTGATAAGGCTGAAAATTTTTTCACTTGTTATTTACAGTAAGATAAATACATTCACCAACTTTTATTAAAATAAAACCATTTAAACTGGGTGTTCGGATTTATATGTCACTTAATATACAGGGTGACTTTGAAGTTGAGTCATTAATTTTCAGATAATGATTGTAGAAGGAAGATAAACCAAAATATGTGTGTAAAAATAAAAAAAAAATAAAAAAAAATGTTTACCTTGTTTTATAAAGTATCCTCCCGACAAGTATTTCAGTGCGGACCTGTATTTGATCGTGAGGTCCCCTGTGAGGTCTGAAGTCACCTGATTCACGAGCCCGTTGTACTACTATTAACAAAGGCACGAGGGGTTGGTTGCACTCGATTGGGAAACCGATCCGCATAAACATGTGCCATTTTTTATTTCGTTTGAGCCACGCAACAGATACTATTCACACGCGACTGACAGTGATTGTATGTATAACTGAACTGAATAAAGTAAACATCGTTCCAAATTCTTTCGCTTTTTTGTTTCCGATGCGATGAACCGATAAGGTGGATTATATCCGTTGTTGCCAAACACCAGCACATGATGTTATTGAGACAGGGCGGTACTCAAACTTCCAAAGGGCTATAACTTTGTTACTTTAATTTTACCAGAAAAATGGTAAAGGAAAAAAACATTTCTTTTGATCAGATCTACTCACTGTTAAAATAAATGACTCAACTTCGAAGTCACCCTGTATATTTGTGACTTTCAAATATCTTTGACAAATTTAATATACTGTGTAATGGATACAAACGGGTAAAATATCACCAGATTTGATGCAAAAACACAACGCATGGCAACCCTGATCAATTTGTAAGCGCAACGATGATGGCGTGGAAATAAGATGGTTGCCTAGGCTTGGTTTCCTATACGTTCAGCTTGACGCAAATATAAATAAAATAATGAATCTGCGTGTTTCGGCTTTGTAGCACTGCTTGCCCGTTAGTGCATTATTGCAAAATAAACCTCATGTGTTCTGTGATTAAGGTAGTTGATTGAAAATTCATCAAAAATATTTTATAATGCTCTATTAGTGCTCTTAAAACCGACTAAAATAGGCAAGCTCAATGAATAAAGTTTCATAATAGATCTATACTGGTACGAGTTTATTCGTTTGCGAACATAATTAGAATTGTTTTATTAGCGCTATGAACATTTACAAAATTAATTTACTAATATACTGAGTGACAAAAAATGGTAAACACCTACGTATGTTTATCCGATTTTAATAATTTTGGGCATATACAGGGTGTCCCAGAAGTCGACGTCAAGCCGAAACCGGATGATAGGCAAAGCCATAACAGCTATCAGAAAAATATTTAAAAACATTTTATGTATGTGTTTTGAAAATTATAGGTCTTTGAAAAAGATATAGAAATTTCACACCCTACGGCAGTCTGTCAACTCCTTTTACTACAAATATTAACTTTTTTTGGATTTTATTTTTACAATGTAATGATGAATAATGCATCTTCAAATTGGTGTCTCAACCTTACTGCCAACTTTTCTCGTTCAGGAAAAATTGCCACTTATTTCCCAACCAAGTATTCCAAAGTAAAACTGCTCAACTTTAACTGGCTGTACTGGAAAAAAATGTACTACGAGAGTTTGGCAAGTAACCTTAAAAGTTGGCGCATTTAATAACGATTCCATAATGGTATAACACTTAGAAGATTACTCGTTAACTTATGCACAATTTTTATTTGAAAAAAACTGATGAAAATTTTTCATAATTTCTTAATTAAACAGCGATTATGAAAACGCACAAGGACCCTTAAGGAGAACTGTTTGCACAACAGTGGGCGTCAAAATGCTGCTGATGATGATTTAACTTTACAGCAAATGCTCAAACTGTTTTCCTTCAGCC